ACATACATGATGTAACATAACATACCATTACACGACTTAATGTGACATAACATTACATCACATTACATAACATTACATTCATACATACATACATACATACATACAGACAGACAGACAGACATATTTACAAACATACATGGATACAAAGGAGTTATCTGGTTAGTGGCCATAGTCAACTGGCCCCATGGTCTGCAACATACACCTAGAATCCTTTCTCGGGCATTGTAGAAGGAAAAAAATTACGACCGAGTTTTTCTACTCCGCTCACAAACTCGGTCGTAATTCTGTGGGGCATTTGTTGGCTCTGAATTCGTCACAGCCAAGCAAGAAAGCAACACTGGACACGTCATACCACTTATAATGTTTCATAGCTCTGGTTTACTAAGTCATCCAAATGGACTGTCGTCTATGTACTTGGCTTACACCCCCAGTTACCAATAAATATAACCCCTCTATCTATCTATCGATCTATCTATCTATCTATCTATCGATCTATCTATCTATCTATCTATCTATCATCTATCTATCTATCTTCATGTCTATCTATCTATCTTCTATCTATCTATCTTCTATCTATCTATCTATTCATATCTATCTATCATTCATATCTATCTATCATTCATATCTATCTATTTTTCATATCTATCTATCTATCTATCTAATCTAATCTAATCTAATCCAATCCAATCCAATCTAATCTAATCTAATCTAATCTAATCTAATCTATCTATCTATGTATCTCTCTATCTATATATTGATCTATCTATCTATCTATCTATCTGTCTATCTATCTACCTACCTACCTACCTATCTATCCTTCTATCTATCTATCGATCTATCGATCTATCGATCTATCTATCTATACATATATATATCTATTTATCTACCTATCTATCTATCTCTCTATCTATATATTTATCTATCTATCTATCTATCTATCTATCTATCGATCTATCTATCTTTCTATCGATCTATCTATCTATCTATCTATCCATCGATCTATCTATCTGTCTACCTGTCTATCTGTCTATCTGTCTTTCTACCTACCTATCTATCTACCTATCTATCTATCTATCAATCTATCTAGCCATCTATCTATCTATCTATCTATCTGTCTGTCTATCTATCTACCTATCTATCTATCTATCTATCTTTCTATCTATCTATCTCTCTATCTCTCCACCCATCTATCGCTCAAAGCTCTCTCTATCTATCTATTCATCTATCTATCTATCTATCTATCTGTCTGTCTATCTATCTATCTATCTATTTATCTATCTATCTATCTATCTATCTATCTATCTATCTATCTATCTATATCTCTCTCTCTCTTTCATCTATCTATCTGTCTACCTGGCTATCTGTCTGTCTATCTATCTATCTATCTATCTGTCTGTCTGTCTATCTGTCTATCTGTCTATCTGTCTATCTGTCTACCTGTCTACCTGTCTATTTGTGGTGCAGTGTCATTCAGTGCAATGTAGAGTAGTGAAATGTAGTGTGGTGTAGTGGAGTGTATCATGTCATCATGTCGCCGTCGGATATGTTCGGATCAAAGCATTTCGCCACTGGGTGTGCCACGATGAACATAAACGTTAACATCATGCTGACCCCTATTCATATCATTCGCATGGCACCTATCTCACTAGAATTTACCAAAGAACATAAAACATCATTTTTTCGGGGTTGCGCTTCATCTCGCCTCGATGAAGCACAACCAAGTGCTCGGGAGCACAACCAAAGTCATTTATCGCACAAAAATGAGCTTGTTTGGTCCCCAAACGCTGGGTTGCGCTTCATCTCCCCTCGATGAAGCACAACCTTGGAAAATGATATTTTTATCTTCTTTGGTAAATTTATGTCTTCCAGACCATAGATTATTTTGCCTGTCGAAAAACTTGAAAGAAAGCGTGAAAAAACAAAAAATGTAACTCTTGTTTCATTTTTCCCTTTGAGCCTCTCCGTGTTTTTCCTTTCTTTTTTCTCCTTTCATTCTGCTTTTGTGTTTTTTAGATTTTGCTGCTTTGCTTTTTCGCTTTTCCGACGTTGATACTTTTTTCGCTTTTTTCGCGTTTTTCGCGAAGTTAGAATATGCTACGGTCTGGATGACATAAATTTACCAAAGAAGATAAAAAAAAAAATATCATTTTCCAAGGTTGTGCTTCATCGAGGCGAGATGAAGCGCAACCCAGCGTTTGGGGGCGCAACCAAGCTCATGTTTGTGCGATAAATGACTTTGGTTGTGCTCCCAAGCACTTGGTTGTGCTTCATCGAGGCGAGATGAAGCGCAACCCCCAAAAAATTATGTTTTCTGTTCTTTGGTAAATTCTAGTGAGATAGGTGCCATACGAATGATAGTAGTAGTAGTCGTAGTCGTAGTCGTCGTAGTAGTAGTCGTAGTCGTAGTCGTAGTAGTAGTAGTAGTAGTAGTAGTAGTAGTAGTAGTAAAAGTAGTAGTAGTAGTAGTAGTAGTAGCAGGAGGAGTAGTAGTAGTAGTAGTAGTACTACGGCCAGGACGGATGTGCTGCCCGGGAAAGTGCGTTTTGACTGCGCAGGGCCAATGTTTTGTGAGATTCCCCGTGTCGTTCGTTTGGGCAAACGGATGACGAATTTTTCCCTCATTTCATCAACATCATCATCATCATCAGCATCATCAGCAACAACATCATCATCATCAACATCATCAACATCCCAATTGACTGTAAAGTTTAACGGGGGTGGGAGTTTACTACTCCCTAATACCCTTGTTGATCTTCCCAATTGAATGCAAAGTTTAACGGGGATGGGAGTTTAATATTCCCTAATTCCCTTGTTGATCTTCGCAATTGAATGTAAAGTTTAACGGGGGTGGGAGTTTAATATACCCTAATACATTTGTTGATCTTCCCAATTGAATGCAAAGTTTAACGGGGGTGGGAGTTTAATATTCCCTAATACGCTCGTTGATCTTCCCAATTCAATGTAAAGTTTAACCGGGGTGGGAGTTTAATATTGCCTAATACCCTTGTTAGTGGGAGAACCTCCACAGAGTCAACCCCTAACTTGGTTGACCCTCTGGAGGCCCCTCCACCGGGCCCACGTATTCGGAGTTCGGAACGTACTTGTACAGAACAAAAAACGATACTTTATGTATACTTAGTAGAAATCACAAGGTCAACAACTAACCAAAAACATTAGTTTCTGTGGACCCGGTTGGACTTTATGTAAACTTGCTAGAAATCACAAAGTCAACAACTAACCAAAAACAATCGTTTCTGTGGACCCGGTGGGAGAGCCTCCACAGAGTCAACCCCTCACTTGGTTGACCCTCTGGAGGCCCCTCCACCGGGCCCACCTATTCGGAGTTCGGAACGTACTTGTACAGAACAAAAAACGATATTTTATGTATACTTGGTAGAAATCACAAGGTCAACAACTAACCAAAAACATTAGTTTCTGTGGACCCGGTTGGACTTTATGTAAACTTGCTAGAAATCACAAAGGCAACAACTAACCAAAAACAATAGTTTCTGTGGATCCGGTGGGAGAGCCTCCACAGAGTCAACCCCTCACTTGGTTGACCCTTTGGAGGCCCCTCCACCGGGTCCACGTATTCGGAGTTCGGAACGTCATTATACAGAACAAAAAAACGATACTTTATGTAGTCGTGGCGGAAGCGCCTCCACAGCGTCAACAACTAGCTCAGTCGACTCCCTGGAGGCCCGTCCAACGAGTCCGCGTGCTGACAACACGGTATACCTACAAGAATAACGATTCACCAACAACAAGCACACAAACATTCCAGCTGCTTGGGTGAGCTTTTCAAACTCCAAAAGTTTCTTTCCAACCGATTCTTGTCCAAAATGCCTACCTTATACATCTAACGTTAGAAATCGGCAAACTCTTCAACGCAATTTCCACGAAGTCATGAATCCGCTTGTTGATCTTCGCAATTGAATGTGAAGTTTAACCGGGGTGGGAGTTTAATATTCCCTAATACCCTTGTTGATCTTCCCAATTGCATGCAAAGTTTAACGGGGGTGGGAGTTTAATATTCCCTAATACCCTTGTTGATCTTCCCAATTCAATGTAAAGTTTAACAGGGGTGGGAGTTTAATATTCCCTAATACCCTTGTTGATCTTCCCAATTGAATGTAAAGTGTCACGGGCCTGGGCGTAGTAGTAGTAGTAGTAGTAGTAGTAGTAGTGGTAGTGGTAGTAGTAGTAGTAGTAGTAGTAGTAGTAGTGGTAGTGGTAGTGGTAGTGGTAGTGGTAGTGGTAGTGGTAGTGGTAGTGGTAGTGGTAGTGGTAGTGGTAGTAGTAGTGGTAGTAGTAGTAGTAGTAGTAGTAGTGGTAGTAGTAGTAGTAGTAGCAGTCGTAGTAGTAGTAGTGGTAGTAGTAGTAGTAGTAGCAGTAGTAGTAGTAGCAGTAGTAGTAGTAGTAGTAGCAGTAGTAGTAGTAGTCGTCGTCGTAGTAGTAGTAGCCGTGGTAGTGGTAGTAGTAGTAGTAGTAGTAGCCGTGGTAGTGGTAGTAGTAGTAGTAGTCGTAGTCGTAGTAGTAGTAGTAGTAGTAGTAGTCGTAGTAGTAGTAGTAGTAGTCGTCGTCGTCGTCATAGTAGTAGTAGTAGTCATAGTAGTAGAAGTAGTCGTCGTCGTAGTAGTAGTAGTAGTAGTCGTCGTCGTAGTAGTAGTAGTCCTCATAGTAGTAGTAGTAGTAGTAGTAGTCCTCATAGTAGTAGTAGTAGTCCTCATAGTAGTAGTAGTAGTAGTAGTAGTAGTAGTAGTAGTAGTCCTCATAGTAGTAGTAGTAGTCGTCGTCGTCGTCGTCGGCGTGCTTGCGTTACAAACAGTCGCACCTTCTCTTGCCTCTCCCTCCTGCCTTTTCCCCCCCTACCTTTCGTCCCCCCCTCTCAAGTTTTAAGTGTGTCGGAGCTCCTGTCTGCTTGTGAGATTGTCGTGAGATTGTTTTGATAGGTTGATTAATTAATGTTATTAATGTTGATTAGGTGCTTGTTTTTGAGATTTGGCTCCTAGGTTGAAAGGCTTTCTGTGAGCCCCAATCCCATCCATGGCCATGGAGAAGGCCACGAACTTGGTCAAGGCTTTGCCATCCTCCAGGCTTTGCGATTCCTTAGACTCAGCCCGTGCTGCAGCGGGTGCAGCTGAGAGTGGGAAATGTTGGTATGTGATGCAGCTGGGCAAGACAAGTATGTCGGAGGTGCACGCAGCTTTGCAGGAAGGATCAGGTCAGTTGGGTGTGCTGCTTGTTGCGAGCCAAAGTCCAGTCTCTCAGCTTGAGGTGCTGAGAGCAATGGAGTACGGTGGTGTGTACGTGGCTTCTGCTGAGTTGGAGAAGCCAGGAGAATGCCTCAAGGAAGCGGCCAGCTTTTCGATTGGCCCTTCCTTGGTTTTGCTGACTGAAGCAGCTGCCATCAAAGGTGATGAGAACTGGACTGCCTTCAGGTACGATCCACGCCGAGAGGACCAAGGACTTGCTGCATTCGTCACTGACAGCAGCCGTGTCCGAAGTGAGATCCAGGGCTTCCTGTCCAGAGAGAGTCTTTTGACTCTGATCGCCAAAAAGTCTTTGCCATCTGCAAGTGCAGGTGATGCTGAAGCTGGAGGCTTGAGTGAAGGACTGGCAGCTGCGTCCAAGACGGTGACCATCCTGTACTCCTCTGACACCGGACATGCCGAAGAATGTGCCAAAGCAGTTGCCCGACAGTGCCGAAATGGAGGAGACGGGCTTTCACGCCTTTACACCCTCTGATTGCGTTCAAGATCCATTGAGATCCCCACCAAACATCATCCGACGCTGTTGCCCCAATGATTTTATATGATTTCATTGATTTCACTATGATTTTCATCATCCAGGTATTCATCATCCACCCCTGGGCCTGGGTGTCTCCACATGTTTGCAAACCTCGACAGGATATGCTGGCAGTGCAGTCCGCTGCGGCACCATGGACTCCTTCGATGTCGGGGCCCTGCCTGCTGAGCCCTTGGTGGTTTTCTGCGTAGCAACTGCCGGGAAAGGTGAATTCTGCGGGAATGGCCGCAGCTCGGTGTAAGCTCATGCTGTGAGTGTCACCATGTCACCATGTCACCTACGCACAAATCTGTATCAGACGCACCTAAAAATGTCTAAAAATCTATATAGTCTAGATGTCTTATGCCAAGTTTTGTTATGTGATGCACGAACTGATGCTCGGTGAACATATAGTTAGTTGGAAGGTTATGTTTTTTCGATTGGTTCCTGTCTTTCTTGGCTTCGTGATGCAGCTAGGAAACTTCTTCCAGAAGTTGAGCGATCGCTCAGATTTGGCTCTGAACGACTTCAAGTACTGCATCTTTGGCCTGGGGGATTCTCACTACTGGGGCAAGGGCACTGAGGAATCAAAGTTCAACTTTGCCAAACCAGCTCGTGACCTGGACAACCTGTTGGAGAAGATGGGTGCCCAGCGCATGATGCCCACAGGTTGGGTCGGCTGCTTTGCCCCAATGATGGATCCTTCTAAAACCCATTGTTCTATACTTTCCTATGCTTTTCTAGCATGCCCGGCATGCCCCCAGATCTCCCAAATCTTTTATGACCGGCCGCAGGATTTGGAGATGACCAAGATGTGGACCAGTACCACACCGGATTTGCTGAATGGAAGGGCCAGCTTTTCTCCCGTCTTGGTGTTGACAAGGCAGATGCAGCTGGAGGCGGTGATGATGGCCCTGTGAAGACTGATGAGCAGATCAAGGTGGAGACCAAGCAGCTCAGAGGAAGCATGAAAGAATCTTTGGACGACATCACCACTGGTCAGGTCCCCTTCCAGGACACCAAATTGATCAAATCCCATGGATCCTACCAACAGGATGATCGAGATCTCCGTGAGGAACGTCAGAAAATGGGAGTCGAGAACGCCTTCAGCTTCATGATTCGTGTCCGCTTGCCCGGTGGCTTTTGTACGGCTGAGCAATGGATTGCTATGGATGACATTTGTGGAAAGTTTGCCAACGGAACTTTGAAGATCACCACACGCCAGACATGGCAAGTGCATGGAGTCCTCAAGAGGGATGTCAAGAACACCATGCGTGCAATGAACAAGGCCTGCATGGACACAGTGGCCGCTTGCGGAGATGTGTGCCGAAACGTGCTATGCACATCCCGCCCAGATGTTTGCAGCAAAGAGCTCCACAAAGAGATTTTGCACTACACCTATGACATCCATGACCATTGCCTGCCCCGCTCTGGTGCATACCATGAGATCTTCTTGATGCAAGGGGATGAGATGGCTGAGAAGATCCAGGTCATGGGATCTACGCCAGTGGAGGAGGAGCCACTCTATGGCCTGACCTACCTGCCCCGAAAGTTCAAGGTCGCGGTGGCGATTCCACCCAGCAATGATGTGGACCTTTTCGCACACTGTGCAGGCTTCATTGCCATCATTCAGGATGGCAAACTGCTGGGTTTCAATGTGGCTGTGGGTGGTGGCTTGGGATTCACCCACAACAACCAGAAAACACATCCCAGATTGGCTGATGTCATTGGCTTTTGCAAGCCTGGCGATGCCAAATATGTGTGCGAGTGCATTTTGACTGTTGCCCGTGACTTTGGTGACCGCACAGGTCGCAAGCACGCGCGGGTGAAGTACACCGTGGAGGACTACGGCCCCAAATGGTTCAAGGAGCAGGTGGTAGAGCGTCTCGGTTTTCCCCTGGAAGAGGCCAAGCCCTATGCCTTCGAGCACCGTGGTGACTTGCACGGCTGGGTGAAAGTCAACGATGGAACCTGGAGCTGTGGCCTCCTGATCCCCATTGGCCGAGTGAAGGAAAGCTCCCGTGTTTGCATTCGAAAAATTGCTGAGTTGCTGAAGGGTGAAGGTGGATTCCGCATGACCTGCAACCAGTCACTGGTTTTGGAGAACATCACTGATGCCAAGAAGAGCCAGGTGCAGCAGCTGCTGGATCAGTACAAGGTCATGCACAGCAAGGAGACCACGGTCAGTGGCATGCGCCGCAACATGGTGGCATGCGTGGCGTTGCCCACGTGTCCTCTGGCTTTTGCCGAGGCAGAGCGCTACCTGCCGACCTTGGTTGAGCGTCTGGAGGCGGTGGCGGACAAGGTCGGCATCGCCCAGGACGACATCGTGATCCGCATGACCGGCTGTCCCAACTCTTGCGGCAGGCCATCCATGGCAGAGATTGGCTTCATCGGCAAAGCACCTGGTACCTACAACATGTACTTGGGAGCTGACTTTGTCGGCAAACGCCTCAACACATTGTATGCCGAGTCCGTGAGTGAGGATGAAATCATCAAGATCCTGACTCCAATGTTTGCCAAGTATGCGGGTGGACGTGCCAAGAATGAGAGTTTTGGTGATTTTCTAGTTCGCCAAGGAATCGTCAAAGCGATGAAGGATGGCCGCGACTGGTGGACAACTCCTGAGGTCTGAGCAGCTTCTGAAAGTCTCGGAAGCTTGGCTCTTGTCTCGGTAGATGTAATGCAACCAAATTGCAGAACTCACTTTTTGGTGAGTCCATCTTCTCCACAAGTTTCTCTGATAGTCTTCTCGTATGTGCATAGCTGCACTTGCGACCAATCCCTCTCCGAGCTTTCGGTAGTCGACAAACACGGTCACCGCGCCAGAGCTACCGACGGCGCCCAAAAAAGCTGGGGCACATATTGATGCAACACATATTGATGCACACTTGGTCCCAGTTCCGAGAGATCTACTGGACTTTTGTGGGAAGGACCAGCTGGGACTTACAGCTGCGTGTGCCTGAACAGGCTATTGGTGAATTGGCAGAACACATCGGTGCAGGTGGTGCCAGCTTCATCCAGGCGGTGACATGTTCTTTCTATGTGAGATGGGTCTTGATTCATGATGGTCTTGAAACTCAATCTCTAAGTATTACCGCTCAGTCATCCAGTTGTAACCACATGTCAATACAAGATACTCTAAGGGGATCTAAGAGGAGCATACACGTTTGGAATCGTTTAGATAGCATAAAGCTAGATGATCAAATAGATAAAGACATGAATGTACGCAACATATGTACACATATCACATAGCATAATAAGACACATTACATACATGCATACACACACACATATATATATACACATATATGATAATATATGGATACAATATATTATGTTGACACAAGATACAGTCCGATTGTGCTGCGTGCTGCGTTCGATTCAGAGCACTGACGCCCTCGTTGCCAGGTCGCAGCGCAGGAAGCATCCAGCACTGGCATCAACCTCCCGGTGCCTGGCCGTTTGTTTCTGGGGACGAATGTTGGATGACTACGGATGAATGAATGTATGAATGATGATGTCATGTCGCCTGTCATGGAATGTGGTCAAGCTATGTTAAGCTTAAACGATGTTAAACGGTTAATTACTCAGCTTGATACGCTGCAGGGATATGCAGGGCCAATAAGCTGCCAGAGTTGCAGGACAGAGGAGCCCAGCTCGAAGGCCTCGAGCATCAGGAGGTGAAAGCCGACTCTGATGTCTTCTGATGTCTTCTGATGTTTTGGTGTGAGGCTTTGATAGGCTTTGTATGGCACTGCTTCCCGGCCAGTGAAGATTTTTTTCATTCATTGCATGCTGGAGTAGTGGCGTGAGAAGCATTGGTGAGGCGGGTCAAAGCCAACACCCTCCCCATGAGGCAGTGGAATTGGAGATACACTTAGAGTAAATTGTGTTCTCTGTTGTTCATCGTGAAAAAATGTGACAACATGGGCCAAGGATTGCATGAGAGAGAGAGAGAGAGAGAGAAAAAGATAGGACATACAGTAGGGTTGATGCCGACTGGCTGAAGCATGTCAGGCCGAACGCTCCTAGCCTCACCTCTCACACCTGAGCGTGCCGCGGGAAACAGAAAAAAAATGACAAAAGCCCGTGTGCACAGGAGAGGTGGTCGATACCTCCTTGTGAATGTCAGGTGGATCGGTTGGGCCCAGAATTTGTGTTCACAGTGCCTTCGTGTCAGTGTGGAACAGTACGTGTCAGTATCCTGTATCAGTACATACAGTACATGTACATACCGGATCATATTATCAGTACTGTCAGTACTGTATTCCGTTGCCATTTTGATCAAGTTCAGTTTGGGCGCAAGTTCTGCGGGAGAAACCCCTGCTTCCGCGGCATGCCCCATGGTGGCACATGGGGCCCCACATGGTGTTCCTGTAATTGAAGCAATGCCCCCCCAACCATGAGGAAACATGTCAAGGTGAGCCTAGCAGAGCAGCCTAGCTTTGAGGGGAAGCGTGAGCAGCACATAGTCACATAGTCTAAGGACATAGCGAAATACCAAGCCAGGCATCATAGGCTATTGTATTTGAGGTATTTGAGGTGCCAATTTGACTTTCTCGTAGGCCCAGCGGCCCATGTCCATATCTTGCCATGCGATGGTGGCTTTTACCATTGGTTGCTGCTTGCCCCGATTGTCCTGCGCATGTGGAGCTGTTGCAGCGGTCGCTGACCTTAAGAAAGGCATCGGCGCCGAGCTTGTCCTTCCTTGAGAAATGCAGTGGCTGGGAGCCTTGCCACAGAAAATCGGTCAGAACACGGTTTTGGACGGCCTTGCTTCATTGATCGTGCATTGCGAGCATGGCAGTTCCCGCATTCGTGTTGGTGTGGTATTGCTAAAGAGGGATAGGAGTGACGAGTCAGTTCAGTCATGTGTCACATTTGAAAACGCAGATGCAGAACTTCTGAATGCCATCAAGGCAACTCCACTGGCGCTTGATACCCTCAGGACTGTCTCAAAGAGTACGTCAGCACTGACGACGGGGCATTCGATTGGCATGTCACAGCCAAGGTCATTTCAGGTCCTGGATGGAAGGGCAGCGTGTTGGAGATGACCAGTCAAAGGTGGCTGCCCAACTTTGTGACACCTGATACCTGGAGTCTTGGCCGGACATTTATGACACTTTTTTGGGATATTTGGATGCGTTTGTGCGGAAAGAACCCCATAATAGGGGATGCAGAATCAATAGGAAATCGAGCTGATTATATAGGATATATTATATAGGTGCAAATTAAGAATCTTTGGTTCAAGCAGCAGCGAGGGATGGGGGACAGGTGGGACCTTTGGCAAAAGTAAGGAATCATACCCTAGTGGTCATTACGCCAAGCAATGTCACACAAGATCTTTGTTTGCTTTACGCAGCTTTGGGCTACTACGGCTCAGTGAATGCGTCGTCAACCTCTGTGAGTAGCTCCGACGAGGATGTCCGGGCAGCGGCCGACATAGCTGTTGCTGCCAGGAGACACACCGCGGTGCTTTTCAACGTGCCTGCAGAATATTTGGCTTTGAAAAAGCCAGGACAGGTGCCTCCACAGCCTTTAGTCGAGGCCCGGGATGCAATTTTGAAACCGTGGGCATGAAATGGATTGAAATGGCATGATCTTGGCAGAAACCATCATAGACGAATTTTCACTTCCAAGTCCCTTAGTCCCTTAGTCCCTTAGTGACATTAGTGACTGCCTTCAAATTTTCGTGACGAAGGGGCCTTCCCGCGAATCGTATCGAATCGTCGAAGATCGTCGATGGTCGAAGGATGGCAGCCTATCAGCTTCATGGGCCAGCTTCAAAGACAGCCATGGTGCCCTGGCACCCATCCTGTTGGAGCTGCCAATGGCCAAGGCGGCCATCAAGGCCATGGATGTCATAGGCACGCGGAGCATGCGTGGAACGCCCCGTCATTGAAGTTTTTTCATCTGCATTGTAGAGGAATTCATGTTTATAAAAAAAGACACTTTTTCTTCTTGAAGTATATTATGACTATATTATATATATATATCTATTTGATTGATCTGTATATCTCTATCAATTTTATCTATCTGTAATGTAATGTATTGTGTTGTAAATGCATGTAAGGTCCTGCAATACTTTATCCTGTAATGTAATGTTATGTGCTGTGAGTGTGATGTGATGTAATGTAAGGATGTATGTATTTGTGTTTATGATATTCGAACATCTAACAATTTAAATCAAAACATTATTAATTGTGCAGTTCTATATATGTATAGAGAGAGAGAGTGTGTGTGTGATGTACCCCTAGCTTCAAGTACTGGGTCCTGCGGGCAAATGTGTATGTGCACTTACTTTATACGCAAACTCTTGTTGTGCACACACACACAAACCTACATTCTATGGAAAAGGGAGTGGAAAGAGGTGAATGAGAAAAGAGCTTCTAACTCCAATTTGGAATCATTGAAGCTCGAGCCGTGAGACAACCTTCTAATTCATGAAAGTTGAAGTCGATTGAAAAGGGACATTTTGCCCAGACCTGCGGTCACTGTCAGGGCAGCACGAGACACCGGTCATGTAATAAAAACTCAGTACCTATAGTACCTCACATGGTGAGAATGCCTTGGTTCCAGATATTTCAGGCCAGTTCTTGAAGATTCAGTCGTTCGTCCTTATGGGAACCAGCAAGCGCGGCAACCTCTGCTGGAACACCGCCTCCGTGGACTCACGAGTGGCTGGTCTCAGGAGGGCTTCCAAGGCCACCAGGCCACCATTTCAAGTTTTCTAAAAATTGGGCATTGAACACATTTGAAAACATCTCCATCAGGCAAGTGGAATTGAGCTATGCTGTATCATGGTTTTCTCATGGTTTGCTCATTTTTTTAAAAAAAGATATCTCCGGTGATTTTTGTTTGTGGCAATGGCACTGAGGTGCGGGGCATCGTTTCCATCGCCAGGCCTTTGAATCTGCGGGCTGTGCTGCATCGCACGCAGAAGGAACTCGGCGGCTTTCCAGTGGCGGCGAAGCCATATTTTGAGAAGGGCCTGTGCCTTGGCGGATGGCTGTACCAATGAGGTCCGGGATAGGCTGGGATAATTGGATGGTGTGGACAGCTTAGAGAAAGGCTTGAGGTGAAGTCACGGTTCCCTTTGCACAGGAGACGGGTGCTTCAAGAGGTTTGCATCCCGTGAGTCGCAACATTTTCCAAGCTTTGGTGAAATTTCTTCAGGCTTGGAAACTATTTGGACTCAGCCACTGGCCAGTCATTCTTGAACATCACGGAGTCTTGGAGCTTTGTTGCTTCCCAGATTCTTTTTGTTCAGTTTCATTTGGTGTCTGTCCTGTCTTCCATCAATTCTGGCTTTGCTGTTCGCATTGTAGATGTACATTTTTCCCGGACAGCACCACGAGCTGGAGATTTAGAGATTTGAGATGCATCACGCGGACAGCTGATGAGCCCTCCATGAGTGTAGAATATGAGTGAAGGGCCAGTGATTTGGCAGATTCTTACAGCTCAATTAACCGACCCTCAGGATCCATATTTCTATTTTCCTCGGGTCTCTAGCATCTCGAAGTTCGTGATCAATGCGGGCAACGACGACTTCTTTGTCCCCGACAATACGAAAGAGTGGTGGCAAGCAGTGCCAGGACCAAAATGGAGTCTTGCCTTAGCCGCCTTAGCCTTGGCATCTTTGCTCTCCGCGTTGGCGTGGTCCATGCGCCCCAAAGGGCAAGCTTCACCCATGCTTTCAATGCTAAGTCACTAAGTAGCTCGTTGAGACATGTTGAAATTGAAACACTCTCATGACAATATCAGCAGCAGCATTCATTGGCAAATTGCAGCATTGGATTGGAATAATTTTCCCAGAACAAGGTAGAAAACCTTGAGAGCCAGGTGAGCAATGCGAAGTCTGAGGTAAGGAAAACCTGTCCCTTTCATTGAACTTAAATTACATACCGCCGTATCTTGCCTTGTTCCTGTGAAATCGCAACCCAGTCCCAGACCTGCATGTGCATTGGTATTCTGGTATGACACATAGTATCCGCGAGTATATTAAGCGGCCACCTGAGGATGCTCACAGTGCCGAATAGTAAGCACATCGTGGGTGGGGCGCAGGCACGGCTGTGCAGCATGGTGAGGTCATGCTTTTAGATCTTTTAGAACAGCAGAGGAGTTTTAATAGAGATAACACATTATTTAAAATCTGATAAAACTATACATATCTGCAACCTAAAACCCACTAGAGATGCGGATGCGATTTGTTTGAGTGCTTCAGCCAGCTTGAGCGTGTTCACCTCATGGGGTACTGGCTCAAGGCCCTCACTGTGGGCAAGGTTTCCTTTGGGTTGCGTTTCAGAGTGCCATGGACGATGACGACGATGATAGTGGCCCAGAAGAAATTCGTGACCTACCGGAAGAGGAAAAAGAGAAGGATGACCTGCTTTCTGTGCGCATCTCCAGATGGATAGATGGTCAACTGTGCAGCGGCCTGGTTGCCGATGTTTGTGTCGGAGAAGTCTCTAGGGAGCGCCTGTACTTGATTCAATATCTGGATGATGATGTCGAGCATTTGACTGAAAAGGAAGTGAGAGACGGCTTAGTACTTTGGGCCACGCAAGGTGTTGAAATGGAACCTGTATCACTCGATCTTGCAGAAGGCTCCATGCAAGTGGACGAGGAGAGTATTGGAAGCCTTTCAGACGAAGACGTTGAAGCTAACTTGAGAAATACGTAGCTGCCAGTCAAGTTGTGAATGCTTTGGGATGATGTGAGTGTTACATAGATGAGTAGAAAACATCGGTGTGTAAAATTACTGATGTCTGCATATTAATGAATTAATGTTTATAGATGTTTATAGTGTGCATGTGTACAGTTGCACACACACAGAGATACGTATTTATATATGCACATGCATTTATTTCTCGACATGCATAGATGTTGTTGTGCGTGTTTTGAATATGTAGAATATACATTGCATCCAAAGTGGCGCCCAACATGTCCGAGTGGTCTAACCCAAAGCATCATTTCTCCTCTCTGGCTTCGCACCCGGCACTTCAAACTAAGGAAAGGGACGATCTCCTGCTTGCGCGGGTGACCAAGAAGAGTGACGGGCAGACTTTTTGCGGGGCTATTGTCCAGGTGGGTGTTGGGAAGAGGAGTAGTGAACGCCTCTACCTCATCAAATATTCCGATGGCGACTGCCAACATGTGACTGAAAGTGAGGCGAGAGCAGCCCTAGCTGCATGGGCAATAGATTCAATAGGCGACACGGCAGTTGAAACAGGGATTTCTGCCATTTCTGATGGCGCCAGACTAGCTGCCCGCAATGGTACCCGCAATGGTAGTGACTGGTAGTGCTTACGTCTACGATCGAGCAAAGAGAGCAAAGTCTTTCTTCACAGTAGGACAAGATCAACGAGGCTTGGGCCATACCATTTTTTATTCTAACGTTTGGTGAGATGGACTAGCACCCCACCCCTAAACAAACCAGGGACATCCATGGACCAAAGCTGGCTTCGAAGATCATGTACTAGCTTTGTAGATATTCGTAGCGCGCTTCGTTTCCCTCACAGAAACGCATTCCAAAGTCAAACGGATCAACTCTTCATGGTGGATTTCCGGGCAAAAAAAGCTTGGATGTGTGTAGCTCTGCGCACGAACCATCGCAAAAGATCCGCACTCGCTTGGGTCCGGAGTTGTCATGTCGCATGTCGAAGCTCACTTCCTGAGTCTGGTTCAGAACCTGAATATCCCCTCAGGTCTTTGATGGTTTTTGCCAAAACTGCAAGGGGATGTGCAAAATGCATCGGAGTAGAGCTTCTGGCTGGGTTCTGTTTCGTGGCCGGAGGTGAGAGAGCTGGCACCCATGATCAGTGCCTTTCTACAAGCAGATCTACAGCTGCCCACAGTCACCTGGTCGGTTGAGGTGCCGTTAGGGACTGTGACAGATGTGACAGCTTCAAAGTACTTGAAAGTAGCTGCCGAATCGAAAAGCCACGGCATGCCACGGCTGACTGTCCAGCAGATTGTGAGATTTATCAGTGCACATGCAGTAAGTATCATAAACGCGCGAGCTTTCGTGGTTTGCACATGCAGTTTGCACATGTTTGCATTCATGTTTCCCAGACAAAAGTGTATGTCATGTATGTCATTTGTTCAATTCTGCTCTCTACATTCACTACATTCACTACATTCACTACATTCACTACATTCACTACATTCACTACATTCACTACCGGTGCATCTGCCGCAGGAGGATGGTGCAATTGTGGCCAGGGCGGCCAGGGATGGTGTGAAGCCACAGGTGCGGCTGTGGCAGGCCGACAGCTGCGATTCTCATCGCATGGACTTCCGCTTTGTCAGCGCCAAAGCTGAGGCAGAGGGAACATGAAGAAACTGTGTGACGTCGGTGTGATCGCGGGGGGCGATTCCATGGAATTCCGAACCATTTCCAATTCATCCAATTTCAACTGGCAGATCACTGCAGGTTGTTTTGCGTGGCATTTTGCCAGGTCTGCCCATGTGGCCACGCCACCTCAGAAGGCTGCGAGAACCAAGGCGTTGAATGGCGCAGCACCCACCTTTCTTCAGATGGGGCTTGGCGTGTGCGGCCGAATGTGACGGAAGGGCACTGGACCGCATTCTTCCTGTCCTTTCAGTGGCCAGGAAGGGTGTTGCTGAACTGGGGGCCTCGGGTTTTGGTATGAGATTGCAACAACTACTTTACTTTCACGCAGCAACTGCTAGCAGATATTTAAAAAAAATTAAACCGGCCATCGTTTACCGTCCCTTGCAGTGGACAACGATGAAACATGCCTCCTAAACCATTGCCAGGGGGCGCAAAGCTCTCCACTGAAGTGTCTGTGGTGCCGACACAGCTCCCCTTTCATTGCTATGCTTCCTGTGAGGGAATCGTGTGATCTGACGCTCCAGCTTAAAAAAGTGCCACGAATTGTGTTTCATGACTTGGCACATGCCACCGCCTGCTGTCAGTTGCCCCAAAGGGATCCAAAGGAGTTTATGTCATGAATTCTCATGCGTGGTGCCGTACTCAGTTTTACGGTTTGTGAGATAGATTGTAAAGGAACTCAACTTTGAAAGTTATGCACCAGGCAATGGGCCATTGGCTGGCAATTTTAAATTCACGGGTGGGAGCTATTCTTGGAATGTTCTAGGACGGTGTTGAAGTCGTTTGTTCGCCGCGCTCGCCTTAGCTGTGATTTTGAACCAGACCATGGCGCATGGAGATTTGAGGCTCAAGGGTCAAGTGCGGGAGCACTGGCAGCGCTGGCCTCCAACTTTTTGCTCAGCGTTTGGAGTCCAAACATTTTGAGGCCATTTTCAGCCTCTTGAGCCAAACTTCCTCTGCCTCGTTGCCTTTGCATTCTCTGCACAGAGGTGTCAAGGTCGGGCCATGCAGATCAGCGCCCAGCCCTTCAAAAGGAGTGCGGAGCGTCACAATGCGCTCCTGTTGATTGGAAACGTGATCGGCAGCGGTGGCTCTGCTGTCGTCACAGAGTGTAGCCCCTTGCAGCGAAATTGGCATTTTGCTTGGATTCTTTTGGGGATACCATGGCCATGGAAATGGACAAAACATATATATAAAGACATATAAAAACTGAAAGAAAATGAAAGGGTCATTGCATGATTTTGAGCTCAGCTGTCGGGATGTGATCCTCTCTTCTAGCCTGGCCAGGTGGCTGTTGTGATGGTCCTGATTGTGCTTTGTCTGATGACATGGTGGCTAAGATCTACAAGGCACGAGCTCTTTCAATTGTGGGAGCTGCGTGGCCTTCCACAGTTGTCCATCTTGTATCATCTTATCAATTTTGTTTCGTTTCAGTTCATTTGCGAGGGATCCCTATCAAATACCTTCGACATATTCATACAGTGAAAAGGATCTGAATAGCCGGGATAGCGGGCCATGACTTGTGGAACCATGATCACGTCGTTGCCGTCTCTCTATGTCGATGCCAAAAGAGGAAATAAGGAAAGTGATCAGTGATTTTGCAGTTGGGATTGCGTCGTTTGAACTATCAAAATTCAAGACATTTTCAAGATTTTTCAAGCATGTTAAGCATGTTCAGGACCAAGGTAGAAGATTGACGGATTTAGATGACTTGGATGCTACTTGTACTTTGAAAATCTCTGGGATACCAAGATGGCAGGTTCGGTGTGCTGATGAACCTCCAGAAGTCGCATTGCAAGAGGCAAGAATGCTCCAGGCTGTTGCATCGGAACATGTGGCAACATATCTTGGCCTTTACTACTTTGATGCCAGCGAAGTCGCAGAACGAATCCCCGCCATTCAGTGCGTGCAGTCAACTCTGAATGGACACTTTGGCAGCAGAGTGCAGTCGAGAAGCAGTAGGAGCAGGCACAGTAGCCGAAGCACTCGCGAGACAAAGCTGTCCACAGCAAGCGGTGACGGTCAGCGCTTGAAATTATGGGCATTGCTTATGGAACGCATGGATTACTCCTTGCACCATTTGACATGTTTTAGCTTCCTCGAGCCAGAGGCAAGCTCACCCAGCTTTTTCTGTTTTTGCATCGGTCCGGAGTCCAGGTCCATGCATTTTTGTTGCAGATGTTTTAGGTTTTACATGATTTTATGTGATTTTATGAATATGACGGGCATGAAAAGTGATATGAAAATGCTCATATCTGCGCAGGCAGCGTTTGCATGTCAAGCTCTCCTCCAGGGCCTCTCCCATCTGCATTCTCTTGGAATCATTCATCGAGATGTGAAACCAGCAAACATTTTGATTGCGAATGGAGGCAGTCGGGTGGTCCTGAGTGACTTGGGCTTAGCCACATGGATTCCAGAAGGATCGACTTCAGTGTCGAGAAAAGCATGTGGAACGCGAGGCTTTCTGGCGCCTGAATGCTTGTTGAGGGACGTATGCAGCAAGGAGTCGGACATGCTTCTTGACCTTCTTGACTTGGTTCTGACGGATGGTCATGGATGGTCGTGTGATGTCCGCTGAAAGGTGCTGAGGGTTGTCAGAGAGTGTCAGACAAGGTCAGAGAGCAGAGAAATGGTTTCCCTTTCACACACAGACACACACGCGTATGATATTATTATGTATATATGTATCTGCAATATATACATATAAATATGGGGTTGGATGTAATACTGGGAAAAAGCCTTCATGACTGACAGACAAGGCCCGGCATCCGAAAAGGATTTCGTTTTTTGATATTTGTTGTCTCCAAAGATGGGCCCTTCTACACAGTCTAGAGATGTCTAGAGTGGACGTAGAGTCTAGAGATGTCTAGAGTTTAGATTGGGAGAGAAACAGTATGGGGATGACTTGCCATTCCGCAAGCCATGAGTCGGTTTGTGCCATTGCGACAAACTTTGAGGTTTGCTGTTGGGGCAGTCCTTTACCAACTTCTCTTCGGCACCTATGCCTTTGTCAGGGCCAGTGTTGCTGAAACGGAAGCGGCAACGTTGCAGGGCAAATTGCCTCTGGAGCCCTGCGGAGAAGCAGTGGGACGCTAGACCGGGGGGCGGGGGAGTGTGATAGGAAAGGCTAGGCTAGAGGGTTAACGACACAAGGCGGAACAGTTTTAGCTGATCAGGTAGCATTACACGTCATTGTTGGGCCAAAACTTGGCTTGCAACTCAGCTTCAAAGGTTGCTTGTGGCCACCGTCTATGAAAGAGAAGAAGTCAAGCAGTATCAATTTCATGGAGTTGGTTCGACCAGTCAGGAGGACTTTCTTTTTTTTGATTTCGTGATGGTGATACTCTCCCGGGGCTGGCCCGGTTTTTTGAGGCAAATCAGCTGCAAGTTGCGTGCTGGTGCGAAACCTCTTGGACTTTGACCCCACGTGTCGTCTCACAGCACAAGAAGCCTTGCGCAGTCCTTGGTTCCAAAAGCAAGCAGCTTGGTTGGACCTCATACCGAAAGAGATCTGAAGAGTTGGTATACAGATGTATACAGTAACATTGGAAACTTTGGGTATGGTTTGATGTGGCCACGTATCTTGAACCTACTTTGGATGGAACATTGCACATGTCACATGTGGTTGAATGTGGTTGAATTGATTTCAGGACTTTGATTCCAATTCTTCTCAGAACAAGTTCTCGCTCGCCCGCCGTGCCAGGAGTCGCTAGCAGCCCTGCATAGCTTGAGGGAGGAGGAAAAGAGGATCCAGGATGAAACTGCCTTGGGTTTGTTCATGGACGAGAACGCCACAACTCAGAGGCGCCCTCTCACAAAGGAGGCCGGTGGGATTTTCTGCTGAAGTTTGTGGCTGTTTGTATGGTTCCAGGTGCCTGTTTTCCTGTGGATTCAAACATGTTCAAGCCATCACCATCACGCCAAGTCATTGCAAAGTTTGGCTGCTGGCATCTAGTGACTAGTGCGATTGGAAGGTACGACTCAACAAGAATCTCACTGAGCCAAAGGCCTCTTTTGATGGACTGTTCATAGGGTCGTGTTGAGTGGCGAGGACATATAGATATGCACTACAGACATCTAGAATCTACAGACGGCATTATAAAACTGTGTTTCGCAAAACATCACTTCTTTTAGATGTGGAAGGTGATGAATTCAATGGGAGGTTCGACAGAGTATAAAGACATATAAGACATCAACATACATATAGATCATATAGAAACCATCTCGGAAGAGGGAAGCAAGCGACTTTCAGAAGCACTGGGCTGATGCATTGAGCAGCGTTTACATGCATGAAACCATGTGAAACCAGCAAACAGACCATGCTGACTATGCACGGAGGCAACCTGGGCATCCCGGATCTTGAAGGTAGCGAGGAGGAGTTTCGCGCGGAATTTCCGATCTAAAAAGGTGGCCCCCGAGCCGCTCGAGCCAGTGGAATTTGACCAAATTTGTGGTAGGTAGGAGCTGTAGAGGCTCCTGTAGAGGCTCCTGAAGTCAGGCATGAGGCCAACGATCTTGTGCTATGCTTCGAGCAACGGAGATTGAATTTGGTCCACGCGCGTAGTATTACACGCGCGTGCTTTTTTTAACAAGGCTTTAACTGAGCCCGCATCAATCTGTAAGTCACTTTGGTTGACTGCTGTTGGGCTGCCACAGTCCAGACCTTAGTATGGTAGCATTTAGTAATAATATGTAATAATATGATGTAACATGCCACATATGGCACAGAGAAAGACAATATCAGATTGAACATGGCTCATGTTTACTTCCCGACGATTGTTTTGTGGGTTGCTCGAATGCATGTGCTGTGACAACAGTTCCGCATGCTAAAATGCAACACTGCATGTCCCGTCGGCAGGTGCACATGCTCTTGACCTCGAACCTCTTAAATCTACGATATCTATGTATGATTACGTATGTATGTATGCATGCATGCATGCAATGTAACGTAATGTAATCTAGTGCAATGCAATGTAATGTAGTGCAATGTAATGTAGTAATGCAATGCAATGTATAAAATGCGTAACAGAATGCAATATTATATTCACGTCGCTTCGCGACGGCAACCGCCCGCACCGCATCGTTGGGCTCACACAGCAGGGGCATTGAGACCAAAAACATCCGAAAGTACTGATTGTCGGAAAAAAAACGCGAAGAATTTGATGGCCATGTATAGCGGACCAACGCAGTTCAAAAAATAACGAAAAACATGAAAAAACGGCGAAATTGCTGTTATTTACAGTGTTTTTGCGCGGTGAGAAGCAGAAACCACTGCAAATACCATGGTTTTTGAGGGTCAGGTGGCCAAAAACACTGTAATTTACAGTGTTTTTTTAACCAACGTCAAAAAACACTGGTATTTACGATGTTTTCATTCACACCGTAACATAAAACAGCGTAATTTACGAGGTTTTTGGAAGTTTTGAAGCTAGCCGTCAAGCATGCAGAAAACAGAAAAACACTGTAAAAACCAGTGTTTCTGCTATCACAAAACGACGAAAATCAGTCCGAAAACGGGTCCAAAAACTCAAAAATCCGCCTCCGGGCCAGGCCACCTGCGGAACCGCAAAAAAAGATGTTGCAAACCAAAAAATTGAGGTCAAAAAGTTGAAAAACACAGGGTTTTTTCACTTTTCGCTTGCCGATTTTGGACGGGCGCGTTCACGAACAGGTGTCTTCCGTACTGTTTTTTACAGTGTTTTTTGAAGGCGAGCGTCACGACCTATCAAAAACAGGAGGTTTTGGCCGAAAAATGCCCCCCCCCCCAGGTAAACCT